GCCCCGCCGCCCTCCCCGCCCCGCCCCGCTTCCCGGTGCGCACGCCGTCTGGGCACCGCGCTGACCGCTCGCCCAGCAGCCGTGCTCACAGCGGCCCTAGGAGTGGGTCCCGGGATGCCCATTACCCAGATGGGCAAAACGAGGCCTGGCCTTGCAGAGCACTAAGTGGCCGGCTGAGCTGGGATTGCAGCCCCGCCCGGAGTCCCAGGTCCAAGCCTCTAATTAGTGCTGCCCGGACACCTAATAAAAACCACCTGAGGCACTTGCAAGGTTTAGACTCCAGGCTGCTCCACCTGAGATTTTGAGTCCGTGGGGCTGGAATGTGGCCTCGGATTTGTTTTTCGCGAATATCAGGTGATTCTCATAAGGGAAGTCTAGGAAACGCTGCTTGTGACCGGCCCGCTGGCCCCTTCCCAGGTGTTCCTGCTGCTTAATTTCATCTCGTGGGCAGCACTTGGCCACCTGAAATGATTCTTTCCCCCTCTAGGCCAGTGGTTCTCAACCTGTGGGTCGCGACCTCTTTGGGGGTCGAATGACCCTTTCATAGGTGTCGCCTAAGACCATCAGAAAACACAGATATAATTACAGATTTTGTTTGTGATTAATCACTATGCTTTAATTATGTTCACTTTGTAACAACGAAGTTGGGGGCCACCACAACATGAGGAACTGTATTAAAGGGTCGCGGCATTAGGAAGGTTGAGAACCACTGGTCTAGGCTTTCACCGTGTAGCTTGTAGGCTCCGTAAAAACAAGAACTTGGTCCTTGTGGGTTTTTGTATCCCCGAGGCCTGTGGACTCTCACTTAATATTGGAGTCATTGGAAGATTGAGGGACAACTTGGAATGAATGACAGCTAATTTTTATCGAACGGTTACTGAATTTCCAGGAGCTGCACTAAATACTGTTTGTCCTGTCTTGGGGTCTTTAAGACAGTTCCATACAGAAGGAACGACTGTCGTCACTATTACAAAGTTTTGGGAACTGAGGCTGAGACAGGAGGTGAATTGCCCAAGTGTGCAAAAGTAGTAGGCGGTCGAGCAGCACTCACTTTGGGATCTGTTGTCAGGTACTCTGGTCCAAGTAAGTTTTCCGATTTTCCTTTCACTGTCTGCCTCCTTTTCCCAAGGTCTCCCGCCAGCCATGCAGAAAGTCATGTATAAGGGACTTGTCCCTGAGGATAAGACGTTGAGGGAAATAAAGGTGACCAGCGGAGCCAAGATCATGGTGGTTGGTTCCACGATAAATGATGTTTTAGCAGTAAACACGCCCAAAGACTCTGTGCAGCAGGATGCCAAGGCCGAAGAGAACAAGAAGGAGCCGCTGTGCAGGCAGAAAGTGAGTCCGTCGTGTGACTGCTCGTTCTGGGAAGCGTGAGGCTTCTGGAGCCGCGGTGGGTTATGTTCTCCCTAGAATAAGCCCCTTTTTGGACAGGGCCCATGACGGAAATTTATGGCAGCAGTTGGGTGCCGCTGGCTGTTGAGTGGAGGTGACAACTACCTGAGATTTGCAACTTTGTCTCATCTGGCGGGTCAGTGTGTCTCAAGTCTGTCTCCTTTAGGATAGGCCTCTGCTGGGGCAGGCTTCACATCGCACGAGGGTTCCTCCTGCTCAGGGCCGGAGAACAGTGCATTGCTAGAACTGATTCCCCAGTCAGTGCAAGTGCTTACGTTTGCCTTTTGGTGTGTGGCTTCGCACAAGTCAACGGGCCTATTTCTGGAAAGACATGAGCATCAGTAGCGTTCAGAGGTTCCTCTAAAACTGACACCTCGGGAAGCTGAGTGAAGCACTAGAAAGAGAACTAGGCTGATTTCCCCTGCTGGTCCCTGAAATAGGGGCCAGGTTTTCCTCTTCTGTGGCTCATTTTGGAGGTCAGTGTATTGCAGTGTCACAGGATGCTGGTGGAAGAACCATCACTTGTGATCTTGCCACCCAGCAAGCCCGCTCTCGGTAGTTCCGGGAAAATAGGCGTTCTCATCCTAACCTGTGTCCCGGGGGGGCGTCCAGCTGGCGAACACTGGCTTTAGTGCCCAGGCACCAAGGCACAGGACCAACAGTGGGAAGGACAGTTTTCTGTCACAGTCCATATTCCCTTGTGTGTGCGTTTCCAAACCCCCAAAACGTGCTTTTGTAAATGTGGCAGCAAAACCTGACCAGGATTAACGTGAATAGTCATGTCTTATCATAAAAATGTTACTGTGGCTGGTGGCAGTGTGCGGCCCCAAACCCTGTGGAGGATATATAGCTTATTTTAAAAATATTACAATGTACGGCCATACCACCCTGAACACTCCCGATCTCATCTGATCTCGGAAGCTAAGCAGGGCCAGGCCTGGTTAGTACTTGGATGGGAGACCACCTGGGAATACTGGGTGCTGTAGGCTTAAAAAAAAAACACCATACACACAAAACACCCTAAAACTTCTGGCCTTCATAAAAGTTCAAAACATCTGTTTATGGGGGTTAAAATAAGGAGTTATACACCTATGTTACCGTCTAAAAGGTGTTTATTTGGACACTTCCACCCCCAGATGTGGGGTCAAAATGTCTTATAACCAGTTGAGTTCATTTCTGTATTCCCGTCTTGCTCTACCACATGTGTGAGACGTCAGATATGAGAATGCAGATGTGAGAGCATTCCCACTGGCCACACCTGGGAGCATACATGTCTCTTGAATACAGGTTTTGAGTTACAAATGATTGCTAACAGGCTTAGAATTGTTCCACAGTGCAGGGGAAATTCTTCCAAAGGTACTTGTGAGATATGAGTCAAATTCAGATCGTAATTCATGCTGCAGTGTTTAACGCCAGTTATGAGGCATAACACCGCCTAATGACAGGACCCCATCTTTGTGACTTCATCAGTGGCTCAGAAATCTGGGGCTGATGTATAGGGGATCCTTTGTTAGCAGCCTGGCAGTGGTGGGTCTATTCCCATTGGGTTTCTGCCATGCCAGTGAGCCTTATGGCCACCTGGTGCTTAAATTAGGTTAATTTTTTACCCTCTGCCCACTCATTGCCCTGTTGTCTAGCTTTGCTAAACAGTGTCTGTTTCTATACAGCCACAAATGGGGCGGCAATCAGGTTCAGGCACGTGGGCCGGTCAGGAGCTGTTTCAGGGGAGCCTTGTTAGAACCCATAAGGATCTGCCTCAAACTGGGGTGGGCTGGGTTAGAGACTTGCTAATAGGGTCAGGCTCTCGAGTAATCAGCATTTGTCTTGGGAAATTCGTTCTTCAGGCTTTGTGTCTAGCTGGGGTTGAGGGTGGGCAGCGGGAAGACTTCTGCAGCAAAGTCCCCGTTTATGGTGGCAATGCCCCTTCAGGCAGTTGAGCTGCGTCCCAGCGTCGGGCCAGGTGTCTTTGGGAGTGTAAGTTGGCAGAATTGCTGCCAATTTGAACCTGTCAGGAGCGCAACGCTCTTAGCTTGGTGTTGAATCCTTTCAGTGGGGACTGTGGGAGGAAATAGGTTTTCTTTGAACTAGTCTGTAAGGTCCTGCTTTCTAGAGCTTTGATGTTCAGTGTGGCGGCCAGGTGTGATTAAAATTCAGTAAAATTGGGGGTGCATTTCCTCAGTCCTAGCCTCATTTTGAGCGCTTAGTCGCCACGCTTCCAGCCACAAGTGTTTGCTGCCCGGGCTGCTCTGTCGTGTCGGAGGTCCTGTCTGTAGGCAGTACAAGCTTTTGAACAGAACATTAGGCTTTCTTCGTCCTGCTTTTCAGAGGTGGGAATATAACGAAATGCAGTCTACTTTCATTTAATGAGCTCTTTGACTTGCGTTGCAGCAACACAGGAAAGTGTTGGATAAAGGGAAACCTGAAGACGTGATGCCATCTGTGAAGGGGGCCCAGGTAAGCCATGCTCCGTCGTGCACACTCTCAAAACCAGGCCCATTGGGCTGCCTGGGCTGCCGTCTCGTCCCGTCTGTTCTCCTGTATTTGTCCTCCTTTGATGGTGGTCCCTCCCTCTCACCACAGGAGCGCCTGCCCACAGTCCCCTTGTCTGGCATGTACAATAAATCCGGAGGAAAAGTGAGACTCACCTTTAAGCTAGAACAAGACCAGCTGTGGATTGGCACTAAAGGTACGTGACCACTCCCGCGCTGGCTGGCTTGCTGCCTCTGGCTTCCAGAAGCACTTCCTCCCAAGTGCCAGTCTGCTCCTCATTCTCAAATCTCTGCACTGTGCGGTGCGTGTTCCTGGCTTTGGTTTTGCTTTAGATGCTTCTCTTTGGACCTTTTGCCCCTCCTTCTTTTTAGTCTGATCTGAAGTCCAATCCACCCAACATTGGCTGTCCAGAGGTCCCAGGTTGTGGCCTGAGAGCCAGGTCCTGCCCACAGATGAGGGTTTTGTTTGTTTACACACAATCCGTAAAAAAACTGGAGATTTCACTTGATCCGATTTTTGGCTTCATTTGAAAAAAATCACCAGGGTTAGCCAGTCTGGACTTGGATTCTCAGGGATAGCCAGCAGCTGGACTGAGCAGTAGATCACATGGCTGCTACAGTTCTCACTGTCCCGTCTAACCTGCCTGTGGCCAGCACCCTTCGTTTATGTCACCCGCCTGGCCCCTGTACATCAGTTTTCTTAGTGCTGGGGACCAGCGCTGCCCTCTGCCTGCCCCACCGACCCCTGTGCACGGTGGGCCAGGCTGCTGTTTGCTGGGAGGTGACTGACTGCTCTCTCTTTCTTCCCCCGAAGGATCAGAGTCTTGTCAGCAGCGCTCCAAAGTCCTCTGTCTCTTGGCCACGCCACTGTGCTGCTTGGGCCTCCTAGCATCTCTAGACTGGGTCTTCGAAAGGAGTTAACTTGTTTCCCGCCCATCTCTGATTTCTTCTGCCAGCCCGCCGTCTGGGCTGGTTTTCCCCTCACTGGCTTTGTGCTCATAAACCTTTGGCTCTTTAAAGCCAACTTCAAATGCTTACCCATAGTATTCAGTGTTCTCCAGATGGGACCCCTTTAAATTTTTAAAAAATATATTTTATTGATTTTTTACAGAGAGGAAGGGAGAGGGATAGTTAGAAACATCGATGAGAGAGAAACATCGATTCACCTGCCTCCTGCACGCCCCCCACTGGGGATGTGCCCGCAACCAAGGTACATGCCCTTGACCGGAATCGAACCCGGGACCCTTCAGTCCGTAGGCTGCCACTCCATCCACTGAGCCAAACCGGTTAGGGCCCCTTTAAATTTTTGATTTAGTTTCCTGCCCTGCTTACCTTGTCATATCCTATGTGTCCAGCACCGCTTGCTGAATGTCCCCACGCGCTCCGCACAGCTCCGTGCCTTGGTTCATGCTCTGTCCTTCCCTGCAAGCCTTCTTCCCGTCCTTGTGAGTAATAAACTCTTCCAAGGCCCTACTTAAATGTCCTCCTATGAAGCCCTCCTGACACCCCCCGCCCCCAAATAGAGCACTCATTTATGTCCTCAGAGCACTCATTACTCTCCGACTTGTCTGTCCCCTGTTAGATTCCGGAGGGGACCGAGCATGCCTAAGTCACCTGTTTCTGCCAGCACTGTAGATGGTCAGTGTTCGAGGTAAACGCTAAAGAGAAGTCCAGGGGGCCCTGTCCTCTGAGGCTGATGAGTTTCAGGGACAGGCCATTAGATGATTCTGCTTCAGATGGGACCAAAATTTCATGGAAAATAATCGGGGCTGGGGTGATGGGGAGTGAGATTTTTATCATCCAAAATATGAAAGTAAGTTTCTTGTTTTCACCCCTATCCTGGTTCTTAAAGTGAACAAAGAATGACATGCCAAAAGCGCTTGAGTTTTCTAACAATTGTTTGGTAACCTGCCATGTCCTTCCACATTTGATTCTAACTGCATGATCAGAGCAAGTTTTGCAAACTGTTGAAGGGCTCCCGCATTCTTCCAGGGCTTTGGGCCCCTTTAATGGGTCACTGTCCTCTGCAGAGCCGGTCCCGTCACCCCTGTTGTTTCTTCAGTTGTGAGCTGCCCGCCTGTCGGCTCCTCACTTCTCCATGCTCGCAGGTGGTTTGGCGTAGCCCTCCATCAGTGCGCGGTGCGCTAAAGCCCGGCCTCTTCCACTTGGGCAGCCTGAGGGGAGGCAGTGGCTGAGGCCGCCCAGGAAACACCAGTGGCCCAGCGGGTCGGTGCAGCCAGGCTGGCCCCTGAGGGAGTCCTTGTGCGACAGGAAGGTGTGCAGGGGCTGCCGAGGACCCACGGTGCCTGTGCGGGGCTCCACAGAACCTGTGGGTGGCAGAGCTGTTGAGCCTCCTGGTCACCAGCCTTGCTAAGGGGCGTGGCCATGAATTCATGTCCTGGGGCCAGCCACTGCCTGGGTTCTCATTCCCTCCCAGAGCCCTGCCTCCTGGCACCCGCCCTCTCACGCCCATGAGTGCCGTGCCCTGGGTGTCGCCCACACCCTGAGGACAGTGCATCCTGGGAGTGGGCCCCCAGCACTGGCTTCATCTTCCTGTTGGCCTTCTCCAGGGGACGCTCACGGGCTCCTCATTGTGGCGTGAACTCTGGCTGTGGGAGGCAGGACTCGGCCTCTGGCTAGTGGAGCGAGAACAGGCAGGAATGAGAAAGGGGAGCACAGGTGAGGCCGTGGGGAGCCTATGCCCTGTTGGTAGGGCAGTTGCACCTGGAATCCAGCTGATGGTCACTTGGAAGTGTGGGCCCAGGATTCTTACATCTGCATTTTCAAAAGAAGCCAGAAATCCATACTTTTCTGTGAAAACTGACGTTTCAAGGTGGTTGGTGTTTTAAGAAGTTTCTATCTTGCCCTAGCCGGTTTGGCTCAGTTGATAATGTTGGCCTGTGGACCCAGAGACCCGGATTCGATTCTGATCAAGAGCATGTACCTGGGTTGCAGGTTCCTCCCCAGCCTGGGCCCTGGTCTGGGCTCGTGTAGGAGGCAACCAATCGATGTGTTTCTCTCACATCAATACTTTTCTCTGTCTTTCCCTCTTCCACTTTCTCTAAAAAATCAGTGGAGAAATATCCTTGGGTGAAGATTAAAAAATAAATAAAAATAAAGAAGTTTCTATCTTAAAGACACCAGCTGGTCAGGTCCTGGCTGGGGGCGCTGTTTTAGAGCCACTAAAAGTCATGGCCTGCGTGACCCTCCAGGTCTTTTCTCCCCACCTCCGATTTTCACAGGCCGAGGCCCACAGGACAGAAATAAAGTGTCTCAATTCATCCGCTCGCTCGACTAGAACCCGGCCTCGAAGTTCCTGCTGTCTTGTCAGTTACCTGTTTTCAGATTACACCTTTTCCAGATTTTTGTCTACCAAGGCTTTAGTGTGGTTTAATCTTGACTTAACTGCTGAGAGCTTCTCCAGTCCCTGCGGTGTCTGCTGCTTCCGGGGTGGTTTCCTTTCGGCAGACGCCCCCACCTCTCCTGCCACACCCCCTCCTGCTGCACTTGCTCTTTCCACCCCTCCCCCGCTTCCTCGCGCTGCCTCTTTCACACCTGCTGCCCTTAAACTTGCTGCAGACTGTCTTCTGATCCGTGTGCTCTTGATTATTGATCATAGAGGTAATAAATGTTCTAAGAGGACTTTCGTGTGTGTCTATGGGGGTGTGCAGGCCAGGGGAGGGGTTGGGGGGGCAAGTGAGCAGGGTCTTGGGCCAGAGCCTGGTCGTTCACAGCCAGCAGTCTCCCTTCCTATCTGTGGGAACCCCGGGGCACGCTGGTGCCTCTGTTCTTGGCTCTCGACTGTGTCAGGCACCAAAGGCCTGAGCCAGGGCTGGGCTTGGGCAGTAAGGGTACACTGGGACTTCTTGGGTGTTATTCATTGTTAAGAGTTTTAAAAAGAACACCAGGAAAGAGATACTCTGCTGTGGCATTGCCACATCCTGGTCTCCGTTCGCTCCTAAGAAGTCCCAGCTCCCACGCAGGGCTCTCATGCCATTGTCAGCAGGGCTGGTTCCTTACCTCCAGGAGGCTCCAGAGCCACCGCCCTGATGAGGGACTGCTGCTTCCCAGGAGTAGAACAGGAGGGCCTGTGAATAACGGCTGTCATTCCTCTCAACTCAGAGCGGACCGAGAAGCTACCCATGGGCTCCATTAAAAACGTGGTCAGCGAACCCATTGAGGGGCACGAGGACTACCACATGATGGTAAGTAGCCCACACTGCTCCAGCAGGGACTGCGTGACCGAGGAGACGCTCCAGGAGACGCCCGTCTAAGGCCCCGGGCTTTCTTCTAGAACTCGCCCTTGACTTAGTCCTAGTTCTCTCGACTCCCGTCCCCCCACCCCCGTTTTTCCAACAGTTTACGGGGGTATGTTGGGTGTCTTTGCCTCCTTTTTACTATAATGCTTTGTCCTTAGACCAGGGAAATAACTGTAATGAGGAGGGCTTGTGGGCTTTCATCTAACTTTTTTCTTGTGCATAGAATTAAACCTCCCCCTAGTCCTGGTGTTTGGACCCCCAGGCCTCCTCCTTCTGGGGCGGTGTCGCCCTTCCCAGGCTGCAGCGGTCACATGGCAAGGGGACCCTGTGGGGAGATGGATTTGTGGACACTGTTCTCGGGGAGGTCTGCTCTGACCGGCAGACTGTGCTCTCCCGAGACAGGATGTGTGCAGGCACTGCCCTGTCTGTGCAGAGCAGAGAGCTCAGTGAGCGGAGCAGCAGGCACGTCCTCATACTTCCCAGCGCTGTCTGGAGGGGCCACTTTAAAAACGCTGGGACAGGGACCTGCCCTGAGCAGTGACAGGGTGAGGGCGGCCGCCTGCCTTTGTCAGAAGAGGCAGTTTTCAGTGTCCAACCAGCAGGGATGTAGCTGCGTTGGCCTGTCCCGTGGAGAAGGAACAGTAGTGTGCTGACCATGGGTGTGGCACAGCGTCCACAGCAGAGGGAGGTGTTGGGAGGTCCCAGCAGAAGGGGTGCTAGCATCCTGGCAGTACTCTGTAGACAGATGGCAGACCTGGGCTCTGGGAGGGTCTGCCCGCCCTGCCCCTCTCCTGTCGGTGTCTGTCAGCCTCTGGCTCCGAGCTCCTGGGTGCCCCTCTGAGAGGTGACCACATCATGGGCCTGTGGCAGCCTGCCACCTGGTCTCTGGAGTCTTTAAAGGTCTGCACGTGGGTTGTTTGCTTACTCAGTCATTTTTTTGCTTTAAAAGTTGGGTTTTATTTTATTATCTTTTATTTACTTTTAAATATTTTTATTAATTTCAGAGAGGGAGGGAGAGAGAGATAGAAACATCAATGATGAGATTCATTGATCAGCTGCCTCCTGTACACCCTGCACTGAGGATCAAGCCTGCAACCTGGGCATATGCACTGACCGGGAATCAAACCATGACCTCCTGGTTCATAGGTTGATGCTCAACCACTGAGCCACGCCGGCTGGGCTCAAATTGGATTTTGGTATTTTCATCCGGCTCCTGCACTGCCCTCTGAAGCGTGTGCCTTCCCAGTTTGGCCCTGTAGTGTGTGCAGTCCTGGTGATCGGCAGCCTGGTGAGAGGGTTTTACACAAGTTGAGGGGCCAGCTTCAACCTCCTAAGTGATTGGTGTGGCTGGGCAATGCCTTAGATTTCATTTAAATGCTCATTTTGTCCAGTCATTTCTGGCAGCAGTGGCTCTGATTGCCCCTCTCTTTACGCACCATTACTCAGCACCTGTCCTCTGTCCCGATGAAAGGATTTGTTTTCCTCTGCAGACGCCATATCACTAGCTTAACATGCCAGAGTTCACATTAGAAGGGGGTGGCTGTGTTTTGTTATTTTTAGAGAAATCTTAAAAAATACAGGAAAGGACAGACGATTAAGCAAACCCATATACCCATCACCAAGAAGTGACCATTGCAAATATTGTGTAACTTGTTTTGAATCATTTTCAAATAAAAGATAATTTACCAGCAGTGAGTTCGTCCCCATTGTCTCCCCTCCCCACTGCCCTCTTCACGATCTCCCACTTGGCCTGCCCCGCTCTGCTTCCATTTTCATGTATGTCCATGAACAGGCTTCAACACTGTTTTTGTGTTTTATCAGTTTTCCTAAGTCATATCGTGGTATGTGTCATTCTGCTGCTTGCTCTTCTGGTTCGACATTATGATCTGTCTATATTTACCAAAGTAAATAAAAGATAATAAAATGACCAGGCCACATCACTTTAGTTGTGCATCCCTCACAGTGGACGGCAGGCTGTTTCCAAGTGCTCCTCTTGCTGGCAGTGCTGCTTCGAGCGCTCACCTGTTTGCTGTGCACGTGTGACTGCTGCTAGGGCAGTGGTTCCCAGGAGGGTCTCGATCAGCAGTGCCACTCACCTGGGAGCTCCTAGGAATTGCAGATGCTCAGGCCCCACCAGCCCTCCAAGTCCCAGACTAAGGGGAGCCACCAATCTGCTGTGACACGCCCTCCCTCCAGAGAGCTCTGATGTGCACCCAAGTTGGGGAACCACTGCTTTAGGGTTCGCTCTGCTTGCTTCCTCCTGCTGCTGCTCCTCTTCTGGACAAGACAGAATGCTCCCCTTCCCACATGAGGTCTCCCCCTTCCCCATTGATGAAGCCACCTCTCAGCCCTCCCCTGTGCGTGCTGTGCTGCCGCTCAGCCTCCCGACCTCTGAAGTGTCGCTTGGTTTTCCTTTTCCCTTCCAGGCGTTTCAGTTGGGCCCCACGGAAGCCTCTTACTACTGGGTGTACTGGGTTCCAACTCAATATGTGGATGCAATCAAAGACACTGTGCTGGGGAAGTGGCAGTATTTTTGAAAGCACTTTCACCTCTGGCCCAGGAGACTGACCCACAGTGAAGGACATTGCTGGGAGAGGCCTGCAGCACCCCCGGATTTCAGAGTTCTGGAACTTTGTTCACACACAATCTATACCCAATCTAAGGTGATGTGGTGACCGAAGCCAGAGGTGATGTTCTTTCACCCTTAGCTTAATCCTAACTTAAATCACCGGTTCCCTTTCTTGCAGTCAGCTTCATACCATTTTTAAAGTCAGTACAGTGGAAACCAATAAATCTGAACTCGGAAAGTACTGTGTGGAATACTCTTAAGTGTATTTGAGAGTAGATCTGCCAAGGTTTTGTTTAGAAAGGAATGGTCAAAAGCTTTCTGCTTTTTTTAAAAAGTGATTTCAACAAATATTTTCATAAACCTTTGGTTGCAAACATTTGGACTGTGTTTTGATGAGTTGGGGTGTTTTCTTTTTCATAAAAATTTTTATGCAAAGTGGGAGGGTTGGTAAGCCATATTTTTCTGTCCATTGACTCAGACTTAATTCTTTCCCTTTGTATTTTCTCACTTCCTAGATAGGAGTTTTTGTTTTGAAAACCCAAAGATGTCAGTTCCTCCTTTTGTACCTCATCACTGCTTCCTTTCCTGGCCTCCTCCCTCCGTGCTGCTGCTCGCGAATGCGCGTGGGAGGGGGCGCGGCAGGTCTCGGTCAGGAGCTCTCCCGCGCTGGTGTCTGGTGAGCAGCAGAGTATCTCAGACTCTTGTCTAAACACCTTGGCCTTGGGGCACCGATCTCTGGGCGGTCGTTGCCTCCTTGATGGTTGCCTGCAGCCTCACTGATTGGTTCTGACGCACAGCCTGGCGTGAGTGTGCCTAGCTCTGCTGCTCCAAGATCCACAGTTCCCAGCGGGCACGGACCTCTTCAGGCAGTGCCGTGGGAGACCGTGTGTGCATCTGTGTAGCCACAGGCCCACTTTGAAAGTTTCAAGAAGCAGCCCAGCGGTCATTTCAGTTGTGCTTCTCCATTTGTCCCTTTGCTCATGCGTTGTGTTCAAGTTCTGCCTCCCTCGTTCAAAGATGCTGCCTTTCTCAACAAGAGGACATCTGACCTCGTGGGTTGGCGATGTGTTGCAACAGCAACTATGGGATGAATTGCTTTTGTGATGAGCTCGCCCTTGTCTGGTTTAGCCCCTGCGTTCCTTGTCCATGTGAACCCTGGTGTCCCTTGTGGCTTGGTTGACCGAATGAGGAAAGGCTCCTGCGAGGGGCACCCTGTGCTGTGCTGCCCCCCGCCGCCCTGGCAGTGCCCCCCTCGCTGCTGCAGGCTCTCAGCAGGGCTTGGCCGAGAGTTTCCAAACCTGCAGTCGATTCCAGGCTGTTCTTGTTCTGTGAAATGTGTTAGCATGTGTGAGCCAGTGAACGGTGATCTTCTGCACCCTTCCCTCCAAACTAGTTGAGGAATCCAGCCGGCAAAGACAGGCTCGTGCTTCTCACGGTGTAGTCCCTTCCCAGTTTGCTTCGGGGCAGAAGTACATCGGTGAAGGGTAGTGTCCCAGAAGCTGCCGTTCCAGCCCTGGAAACAGGAGCAGTGACTGACTGCAGCCTCTGTCCTGCTGCCTGCACGCTTGCAGGGCCCAGCACGTGGCAGGCGGCCTCGGCTCGGCTCGTTGGCCAGTGCCCCTGTCCTGTCCTGGAGGCTTGTCCCGGCGGGGCCACGCGCCTTCTCTCCTCTGGAAGCAGCGTCCTCCTCCCCAGACTGGCCTCACCCTGCTGCTCTCCAGGGCCTTCCCACCAGGTCTGCATTTGCTCTGTTTGGCTGCGTGCCAGCTGCCCTCCCTTCGTCCCAGGGACAGCCTGTCCCATCTCCCTGCTCCCCATGAGCCAAACCGCTTTGCACTCAGGCTGGCGTCATTTCCAGACAGGACCGCAGCCTGCGTGAGCCTTTTTATGTTAAGTAAAATGGTGCTTTTCCCCTTACTTTGAAATGCTGTATATTCACAATAATGTCCTGGCGTCTCTCGTCGGCATGTTTGATGGGCTCACTGCTGCCGGAACAATCATGGAGATCTCGTGGGAAGCCCTCGGAGAGCAGAGGTGACGGGCCAGAACCCCTGGGGAGGTGTTGGATTTAGGTCCGAGTCTGGGTCCCAGCAGTACTGCAGTCTTGTCACTCGGTCCCGGGAGCAGTCTCTGCATTTGTTTTATGGCCCAGCGTGTGCCGAGACGTGTGCCGAGACGGAGTCTGTCCGCAAGCTGCCAGCTCTCCCTCCGGAGGCCTCACAGTGTTAGTGTTCTGTCAGGATGGTTTCTGTGCAGTTCTTCCCTGTCTGATGGACCAGCTTTCTCTGGGGTCCTGACTGCCCCTCACAGTGGCGCAGGGCGTGCGGGCGGACCGAGGAAGAGCTGGCTCCGAGAAGGGCTCCCGGTGCAGGAGCAGGCGGGCAGGCCTGTGGTCCCTGCGGCGTCCCTCAGCCTCCCGGCTGCGCTCTCCTGGAATTCGTGCTGGACCTCCTCTCCTGCAGGTCCTGGCTCACTGGTGCCACACCTTTCCTTCCCTCCCGGGCCACTTGGCAACCGATGACAGTAATGCCTGCCGGGGGCAGGCCGCTCAGTCAGCCTGAGCAGAGAACTAGACTTGTGAATCCTGAACTCTGATGTTAAGTTTTTGTGCTTTTGTGTGTGTGTATTTTAATTGCTGATGGGCCTTCTGCAAGTAGTAGTAGCGCTTCCTTAATGAGGCTGAACTGAGCTAAGGATGTCCTTTCCTATAACTCGTGGACGCAGGAGGCCAGCGAGGCCTCAGGAGTCTCCTTAGTTGCTGCTTTGCCTTCCCAGGGCCAGAGAGACGATCTGCCGCGTTGCCAGGGCTCTGGAAACTTGTCGTATTTCAGCCAGGAGGGGCTTGCTCTCCCCTTCCCTCAGTACCCATGTGCCTGGGAGAGCTCCCGGGCTCCCGCTCTGGCTCCCCCAGTCTTCGCCGGAGCAGGAAGGGACGGGATGGACCCTGTGCCACAGTCTCCTTGCCTCTGTTCTGCCTGTTGCCTTGTTTAATCCAATGCCTGTTTGGGAGGAGAGGAACGTATCTAGTCTGTTAGATTTGCGCTGCTGGATTTTTTAAAAAGTGTAACCTTGACTAGCTGTCTTATTGTTTATCCTGTAAGATTAGCCTATCAATTAAAGTTTGATAATTAATTGCGTCTCCTTTTTCCTTCCACTTCTTCATGCGCCTAATCCATACTGGGGATTGACCAATATTTGGAACTGGGCCTGGAGCCTTTTTTTTTTTTTAACCAGCTATGGCAGGGGTGGACAAACTTTTTGACCCGAGGGCCACAATGGGTTCTTAAACTGGACCGGAGGGCCGGAACAAAAGCATGGATGGAGTGTTTGTGTGAACTAATATAAATTCAAAGTAAACATCATTACATAAAAGGGTACGGTCTTTTTTTTTTTTTAGTTTTATTCATTTCAAACGGGCCGGATCCGGCCTGCGGGCTGTAGTTTGCCCACGGCTGAGCTATGGTCAACCATTATCCTGTCTTCTTTATTTGACTTTGAGTATATCCAAATTTGAGTATATCCAGCAAAAAAGTTGATAAAGAGATTTGATTTGATAGACTTCTGTATGAGTCAAAGTCACTGCCAGGCCATGCTCCTGGTGGGACAACCCTCCTCCCGCTCCGGCCTCCAGGTGTTGGAGGCGATGCCACCTCCCTGTGACTTCACCCAGCCCGGTAGCCTCGGAGGACATGGCTGGTGACACAGTGAGGTGGAGCTCCAGTTCCCGCCACAGCCACCAAGACCCAGGAACAAACATGACCCCAGCACCACTTCCACTGGACACTCTCACCTTCCCTCTGCTTTGTAAATGTTCCCAGAGACTCTGGTCCCACGGCCCCTCCTGACTCGGTTATTTCGGTACCTCATACCCCGAAGCAGTGCTGTCGGGCGTAGGGTCTGGCACTGCCACAGGCTGCTCTCTGCAGTGGACTCCTCCGGTTTGACCCCAGTTCTGAATGGTTGCTTCAGGCTCCTTCCGATGATAGGGAGGAGGAGGTAACCTGTCGCCTGAAGAGCACACCATACCTGCAGCTTCACAGCTGACACCCCTTTCTCATCTGGAACCCCACAAGCCAGACCGCCATTAGGGCAAGTAGCAGTGACCTCTTCCTGCACCCAAGGCCTCAGGTCAGGGCAGCCGGTGCCCATGCAAGTGGGGGTGCTTCTCCCCAGGAGCCCTGGCCTGCGCTACGTGGCTGCGCTCAGCCAGGCTGACCTTCAGAGTTACCAAGGCTGTTCTGTTTGAAGCCTTGTAACCTGTCGTACCCTCTTGATACACCCATGTTGTACCTCCTGGTACAACCCTTCCTGCTGCCCACCCCATGTTATATAACTCCTGGGTGTGTGTTTTTTAAAATATAGTTTTATTGGTTTCAGAGAGGAAGGGAGAGGGGGAGAGAGAGAGAAACATCAATGATGAGAGAATCATTGATAGGCTGCCCCCTGCATGGAGATCTAACCCACAACCCTGGCATGTGCCCTGACCAGGACTCGAACCTTGACCTCCTGGTTCATAGATAGATGCTCAACCACTGTGCCATGCCAGCCGGGCACTTCTGGTTTTTAAGTTTTATGTTTTTATTGACTTTGAGAGAGAGGACGTGAGAGGGACATAAACATTGATGAGAGAGAAACATCAATTGGCTGCCTCCTGCATGCCCTCTACTGGGGATTAAGCCCACAACCTGGGCAAGTGCCCTGACCGGGAATTAACTAGCAACCTTTCAGTGCATGGGACGACACTCAACTAATTAAGCCACACGCCCAGGGCAAAATATGACTTTTATGTCATTTATTACACAATACATGGTATAATTTACAAAATACTGAACAAAATAAGCTCTGTGCCTACCATGTCATAATCATTAACATCTCGGTGTTTTCCAAAAATGGGGTCATGGTGGTTAAAATCTGTCTGCACTTAACAGTCTTTCCACATGATCGCATAACTTCCTATGTAACCAGTCTCATCGCTGGAGTATTCAGTTGTATGACGTGTGTACTTTCCGTTGCATGTATCATGTTGAATTTCCTCCCTTATATGGACAACTTTTAAACAAGTTGAAAGAATAGCATAGTGAACATGCACATACACGCCTAACTTATACATGCTTATAGCCGTCACCCAGTTACTGGTTACCCTTTTGCTATTTTTTTTTTCTGGCCCATTTGAAAGCTAACTGCAGCCCTGATACTACACCTCTAAGTACTCAGTGCAAACCTCATGAGAATAGGTTAGTCTGACCACAATAGCACTGTGTTCCTAATGGGCTGTCTCATCCCCAGCACCCAGCCCCACTTCCCTGAAGTTGATGTCTCTGGAGTTATCTATCCTCCCCCATGACATTGATTTTATTTTATAATATATTTTTATTGATTTGAGAGAGAAAGGAAGAGGGGGAAAGAAACATCAGTGATGAGAAAGTATCATTAATCAGCTGCCTCCTGCATGCCCCCTACTGGGGATTGAGCCTGTAGCCTCGGCATGTGTCCTTGACTGGAATTGAACCTGGGACCCTTCAGTCCACAGGCCAACATACTCTCCACTGAGCCAAACCAGGTAGGGCTATTTTAGAGCCCTACCTTCTGGATGTTTCCTCATGATCAGATTCAGGTTCAACAATTCTAGCAATGTTTCTTCCTGTTCATGGGCCGCGCAGTGCTTGCACCGTTGGTAATCTGAATGTGATATGTCACATGGATGCTAACTGTCCCCCTCCCGGATGGTGAGCTCCCAGGAGTGGAGGCACACAGGACTCACCTGTGCTGGGCTCAGCCCAGTGGCAGTGCTGCATGTGGTGGGCATGTGATGTTTGAGTGAGTGCCCTTGCACTGCAAGTCGGGCCGGAAACGGGCCTCACAGCCACTCTCACAGAGGGCACTAAGGCAGGCGTACAGGTGCTTGGGGCCATTAGAACTATGCACACCATCCCATCTCTTCACGCTCACACTTTTTTTTTGTAGGGTATATCAATTAGACATTGCTTCATGATAGATCACCCAAAACTCTGACTTAAACCAGTGAACAGCCCTAGCCGGTTCGGCTCAGGCCTGTGGACTGAAGGGTCCGGATTTTATTCCAGTCAAGGGCAAGTACCTCAGTTGCAGGCTCCTGGCCCTGGTGGGGTACATGCAGGAGGGAACCAATTGATGTGTCTCTCCCTCTCCCTTTCACTCTAAAAAATCAATGGAAAAAGTCCTATCCTCGGGTGAGGACTGAAAAATAAATTTAAAGATAAAACATATTACTTGGGTATGTGAGTCAGATGGTGGATCTGTTGCTCTAGGCCAGGCTTCTTTGATCTTCCCTACGTTTGTTCATAAATTTGTGATCAGCCGGCAGGTCCAGGACAGCCTCAATGCTTCATTCCTATGCCTGGTGATAAAACGTGTACATTTCCACCACATGCCATTGTCCACAGGTCATCCCAGGTTCAAAGGACAGGTCACACATTCCATTACTGAGGAGCTGCCAATCGGTCTCGGCGTGCTGTCTTCACTCTAGTTGTAGGACTTCCATTCAGCCAGCTTTCAGGCGGTTCTGAATGATGGTTCTGTATTTTAGTTGTAATTTTGATGTGGTTGTGGAAGGCGGTGCGTGCAAGCCTTTATGCTGCCATCTTGGTTCTCTGCTCGCACGCTTATTAAAAATTGACTTTAGAGGGAGGGAAGGAGAAACATCGATTGGTTGCCTTCAGTATGGACCCCAGTCTGGGATCGGACCCACAATCTGGGTATGCACCGTCTGGGAATCAAACCTGCCCCCTTTTGCTGTACAGGACACCGTTCCCACCAACCGAGCCACAGGGCCAGGGCCACCCACACTGGAAAGCTCCATGTGGCCAGTAGCTGCCTACTGAGGGTGGCACACAACATTCCAGTACTTAGAGCAAAGGGTCTTTGCTATTATTTGAACACTCAGACCCTAACTAATTGCCAAGGAATTATCTGTGATTCAGTGAATTTTCCTTCCTGTTCTGGCTCCTGTGGGACGTAGAACAGTTACTGAATGATGCGAACTGGCCCCTCTGTGCAGCAGAGCCATGACTGAGGTGGCGCTACCACAGGCCTCATCTCTTAGGGAGAAGCAACCACAGACTTTTGTCAAAATGTGCAGCTGCCACGGGGGTTAGAATACTCAGAACAAATTGCCCCAGGTGTTAAAATTATGATGTCCCAGGTAAGCCTGTTTCATTCTAAGTACACTGCTCGAAAAGTCATGCATTTTTGAGCTGCATGAATACAATGTCAGCAGACAGATCTTTAAACCTATTAAGCACAGTCCTGGCCAGTTTGGCTCAGAGGATAGAGTGTTGGCCTGTGGACTGAAGGGTTTGATTCCGGTCAAGGGCACATATCTTGGTTGCAGGCTCAATCCCTGGCCCTGGTTGGGGCACATGCAGGAGGCACCCAATCGATGTCTCTCCCTCCCACTCTCTCTAAAACTCAATGGGAAAATATCCTTGGGTGAGGATTAACAACAACAACAAAAAACCTATTAAGCATAGTCAATATAAAAATGTACTTTATAGACATCACTGAAAAACTAAAGACTGACAAAAATATTGTTTTATAGATTTATTTTCAAAGGGCACAAAAACTTGGACAATTTAAATACAAGTTTAAACAGAATTGCTCTGTTGATATCAGCAATGATGCCAAAACTGGTTTTCTCGGCCAGACACTCGCCTCTATCTTCTTGGTGAAGAAAAGGGGTCTGGAAAAGACACAGTAAGTGCCACAATAAGTGCAGTATTTCTTTTGGTGTATTGTTACCAACTTTACATGAAGATCTTTCAGGTGTTACATCCAGAGTACCTGAAGTTACAGGCACCAACGCAAGGCTTTATTTAACAAGTCTCACCACTTATTATCCTAGAGCCCAGATAACAGCTACCTTTATTTATTGACCGGCTTTACCATCAAGCTTTGTATTAAATGATTTGCATACACCACTGAATTTTACCTTCACAAAAATCCCAGGTAGGTCCTATCTTTATCCCCATTGGACATACAGGAAACTGGAGGCTCACACAGGCTAGATAGCCTGCATACAACCACCAGACTTCAGTGTGACAGAACTGACAACAAACAGGGGTGCGACTCTGGAGCCCATCTTCTTGCCCATGAGGTCTCTCAACAGCCATCCCAACTTCTGGACAGCTAGGCCCGGCCTAGGCTGCCGTGGGAGGTAGCGGTCTCTGCTTCTTGGTTAATTTGTGTAGTATTTTCTACGAGACCGTGCTAGGAGGGCTTACTGCCCTATGGAGTCTGTCCAGGAATTAAGTGCTCTCAACCCCTCTCGAGGATAAAGATTAGATCACTCAGGCTGGTGCCCTGGAGTGGCAGATAACCACAGGGCCTGCATTTTATAACCAGGAAAACCTGTCAGGCATTTCCATTCTCCTTTTCTTCCTGAGTCTTACTTTATTGAAGAACCCCACAGAGATTAATCCTATTGGAGAACATCATTCTATGTAAAATTATTTACCTGATACTTTATTCATATACATCCTTCTTATCTGCAATGTAATCTACAATTTCTTGTGGACACATCAATTTCTCCGCATCTATATCAGGAATTTCAAACCCTAAAAGTAAAATGTACAACATGCATGAGAGTAGAAAGAGCAAATCCTTTATTTAATATATTTTTATTGATTTCAGAGAGGGAGAGAGAGAAACACCAATGATGAGAATCATTGATTGGCTGCCTCACATGCCCCCCACTGGGGATCAAGCCTGCAACCCGGGCATGTGCCCCCACAGGGAATTGAACCGTGACTTCCTAGTTCACAGGGTGACATTCAACCACTGAGCCATGGCTGCTGGGCCAAAAGCAAATCCTTTACACATGAAAGCACCAACACCTCCATCACACCCTCAAGTATATCCAGTTGCCAGCAACCCTGAGTCCATTCAAGTTGTGACCCAGTTACGTCTAGACAGTGTGTATATTGTATTGAGTAAAATGGTTGGTTCTTTTTAAAAAGATATAATTCACATAATAGAAAAGTCACCCATTGAAAAGTGTAAAATTCAACGGTTTTTAGCATTGTCACAAGGCTGTGTAACCATCACCATTATCCAATTTTAGAATATTTCATTACCCCCTAAGAAATTCCATCCTACCCTCCCTCAACAGACACCATGCCTCTAGTTAGCAGAATCTGTGAGGAGTCTACTGAGCTCTGCTCTGGGGGATGGCACACAAGTCCTGTGGCTTCTATTCAGGCAGTTCATCCCCCAAATTAGTTGTGGAACCTTGAATGGTCTCATTGCACAACTAACTCTCCCAAACCAGAATAACCTGGAGCAGGCACAGGCGACACCGCAGGAAACCATGGCACAGGTGTGCGTGTGAGGTGGGGGGGCTACTGTTTCTGCTTATGTATCGATTCAAATCGCAATTCAGACTCCTCACATTCTTTCACTTTAACCCACCCAAATCAATCACTCTATGGACTCTGGTCGGTGCTCAGTGGTTAAGAGTGTCATCCCGAGCCCTGGCCCGTTCGGCTCAGTGGATAGAGTGTTGGCCTGTGGACTCACGGGTCCCAGGTTTAATTCTGGTCAAGGGCACATGCCCGGGTTGCGGGCTCGATCCCCAGTAGGGGGCGTGCAGGAGGCAGCCAATCAATGATTCTCATCACTGTTTCTCTCTCTTCCTCTCCTTCTCTAAAAAAATCAATAAAAATCTAAAAAACAACAAACAAACAAACAAACAAAACTTTTAAAGAAAAGTGTCATTCCGCTCCATCAAGGTTTAGGGTTACATCCCGTCAGGGCCATACCAGAATCAAACAATAAATGAATAAATAAGTGGAACATCAAATTGATGTTTCTCTCCCTCTAAAATCACACACACACGTCACAGTATGGAGACCCACGATTCAGCCAGTGAGCGTTACCGAATTCGTCCTCCATGGCCATGATAATCTCCACTTGGTCCAAACTGTCTAAGCCCAGGTCTTTCATGAAATGGGAGTTTACTGAGAGCTGCAAGAAGGGGACACCAAACACAAAATTCAGTCTGAGAGCTTGTGCTTCACTAGACACCTGAGTGGCACAGTGCTAATCATGACACAGGTTATTTTTAACAGGAACCATAACTAACATACCTCTAACGTGTGCCGACATACACTTGGTGTGCTTTACATGTCAACTTTCTCAACCTGTTTTAAACTGGTTAACAATATATAAAAAGCTAATGATGAATTTCACTTTACATATTAAGATCTTTGTTCATTGCCCTGCATGACATTCGAGATTTGGTTTTTCTTGCTGCCTGATTAACAACTGACACTACACCTTAGAAGTGACCTTCTAAGATGGTGTGTGTCACCACCTGCCCTTAATTCAGACCTCCAGATCACCAGGAGGAGTTCAACACCCACATCCAACCGCTGGCCTGGGGTCATGTACAGCGTGGTGACCTGAGGGAGTAATACTGTTCTGCACATTTGAAAGTTAAGAGACTAGGTCTTAAAAGTCCTGTCACAAGAAAAAAACTTTCTGCAACTGCATGATGATGAACGTTAACTAGACTTACTGTGGTGATTAATTCATAACATATATAACAAATAACTGAAACTAATATGTGTCAGTTGTACCTCAAAAAACAAAAAAACCCTCCAAAACCACACTATCCTCACACAACAGATTCAATCATTAAAGAGGAAATTGTGTCGCTATGAGAAAAACTCCGAAGGTTCAGAAAGGTGCATAACCGTGTTTACAGTACACTTACCACTGTGTTCTTTTAAAAGGGTGGGAGATACAGACCACGCAGCACATACAACATACATGTGCGTGTGTTACTGCCCTGCACACACGCTCAGTATCTTTGGGAATCACTGCTGCCTCCCCGAGGGGAATGGGACTGAGCAGGGAGACTTTTTACTGCATGTCCGTCTGGACGCCTGCATTTTGTATCACGTGATTAAGTACGCATGTAAAGAAAAGAACATGTAAACCACACCCATTACCTTTTCTGGGTCAATCTTGTCATAGAGTTTCAAGACATAAAGAACGCGGTCCTTGATCCCCTCTAACGTCAGCGGGGGCGCGTCACTATACTGGCGGCACAGCTGTGTGACTCTGCCTGGCACCTAGGGCAAGGGCAGGAAGGAAACATTGAACCTAAAATTCCTCAAGTGCCCGGCTGGCGTGCTCAATGGTTGAGCGGTGACTTAGGAACCAGGAGGTCATGGTTCGATTCCTGATCAGGGCACAGGCCTGGGTTGCAGGCTCAGTCCCCAGTGTGGGGCGTGCAGGAGGCAGCCGATGAATGATTCTCTCACAATTGATGTTTCACTCTCTCTCCTCCTCCCTTCCTCTCTGAAATCAATAAAAGTAGATTACAAAATAAAATGCCTCCCAGAAAATGCACTGGCCTGTATTGGGTATCTTCTCTAGAGAACCCACCCATCTGATTCTAAGTGTGGCCCCCAGGCCACACTGGGTCCCTGCTGGGTACTCTGATGCCCTGGGCCAGTGGTCGGCAAACTGCAGCTTGCGAGCCAAAATGCAGCTCTTTGGCCCCTTGAGTGTGGCTCTTCCACAAAACACTGACTTCTGCGCATGGGCCACAAAGTTTCAATCGCACTGTACGTGCGCACCCACACATGGTATTTTGTGGAAGAGCCCCACTCAAGGGGCCAAAGAGCCGCAGTTTGCCAACCACTGCCCTAGGCGGTCAGCAGCAGCAGGCCTACCTTCCCCTCAGAGCCAGGACTGGCTTTGGACATTGGTCCTGTTCAGTGAGACTGAAACCGTCCAAGGTCTGCAAAAGAGCCCGTCTTCTCATGCATCTATAGCAGCCACTGCCAGTGAGTCCCTGCACCTCTAATGGGCACACCCGTCACAACCCGCAGGGAAAGGAGCTGCCACGTGACTGAGCAGCTCACCCTGAGGGCCACGCTGACCGGTGGCCTGGCTCCTGAGCTGACGGAGAGGAAGGGCCTGCCTGTCCTCACAGTCCGGTCTGTTCCCCTGCAGCCCCACCACGAGCCTTTGTGATCGCTGACAGGGCGGAGGACCGCCTCCGTCTCTCTGCTGGTCACCTGTTCATGGTCACCTGGGTGCTGGGTCCGGACGGGACTCCTGCGTGTGCGAAGAGCGCCAGCTCCCCCGTCGGCAGGTGTAAGGCTGTGCAGGCACAGTGCAGAGCAAAACAAAACAGGCGGATAGTTCTGCTGGCTGTGGAAGTCCCTAATCTGAACTGGTTTGTTCACCTTCTAAAACTGATCTTCATACTGCGGTTTGGAGTTCTTAGGGCGTTTCCCATAGAAAATAGGTTTTGCTTGTTGGGGTTCAGGTGCCTGAGACAACGGCCCATGAAAAATTGATAAAAAGCACCACCAAGTGAACCAAACCAGCACACACTCTGTATGAGCACTTATCAGTCAACCAAACAGAAGAACCCAGGCACTAGAATGAGGTCTAATCGGCGAGCTGTTTTATAAGGATCCTAGAGTACTTCTGGGTGCTGTCGGAGCCCTGCTCTTTTTGTCTGAATCCACAGTCTCCCTCCCTTTCCAATGACAGCATGGGTTAAGGAGATGTCTGTGTGGGAATGTCACCAGGCCTTAACGCCGAGAAGAGGTTTCCGCAGCAGAAAGGACTAAAGAAGGGAGGAGGAATGAGCGAACAGAGGTAATGACAGACAAGACCTTGAGGAAGGACTAGTGGAGGCTTTGTCCGTGCAGATCAAGGCGTGGTGGGAGGTGGGATTACTGCTGAGTTAAGGGACAGAGAAAGGGGTGTTTGTACACAGCTCCCCATGCCGAGGCCAGCAGGGCACTATGTGATTAAATGAAATTAAAGTGGCCTCATGCCGATGTCAAGTGGGCAGCTAGTGGGCTCAGCAGAGGCAGGTGGGCAAGAGCTCAGGCCCTGGAATGAGACTGCACTAGCTCGCTCTTACTAACCTTTTTTTAAAAAAAATGTGTTTATTGATTTTTTTTTGAAAAAGGAGAGGGATAGAGAGATGAAAACATCGATGAGAGAGAAACAACATCACTTAGCTGCTTCTTGTATGCCTACTACTGGGGATTCAGCCTGCAACTCCAGGCATGTGCCCTGACTGGGAATCGAACCAGTGACCTCTTGGTTCATGGGTTGATGTTCAACCACTGAACCACACTGGCCGGGCATTACTAATCTTTCTATGCCTCAGTTTCCTTACCTGTAAGATGGGATAAACAACATGCCAAGCTCACAGGACTGCTGGGAGGCATCAGTGAGATGATGCCGGGCCGCACACAGGGAGTGTGCTCTGCAGGGCGCCCACAGGACCGGGTGATGCCGCTGCCCTGCCAGTGTGAGGCTCTGGGCAGTAGCCCTACAGCACCGCTCCTGCTTCCTCCCATGCCTCCCCTTAGGTTATTTCTTATCAGGTCAGACTATAGTGCTGCCACAAGCACTTCCCTCCCTCACATCAATTCTTCAGTTCTCACATACTAGGAGATACACAGTACTATCACCCACCTCCTGGAGGGCTTACTGCTCCTGCTTGCTGGGTCTCCACTGTTTAAAACAAAAGAGACACGTGTTGTTTCTGATGTTAACTGTTCTTCCTCAAGATGTACGCTTAACAATTCTATTTAACAGAAACTTTCTCCCGCAGCCATCGGAGAAGGCACTGTTTGCAGGAATGAGGGACTTCCCTCTGAACAGTAGAAATTATCGAGCCTGGTTAGTTCCCATCAGAACCCATTTTCTCTCCACTGGGGCCCAGCTCTGAGGGAAACTCCGAAGGAACCGAAGGAGGTGGCTTTGAAGGCCATCTGCCAACTGCCCGCACAATTCCGGCCGGCAGCACACAACCCAGGGCCCAGTTTGGAAACGAACTCCTCACCCTCTGCAAAATGCCTGCTCACAGACCAGGCCAGTCTCCACTCTTCCCACCGTCCACTGTATTTACTCACTTGGTCACCCCACATGGCTGGCTGGGGGGTCTCACTCACCCCTGCAACAAACCTTGTTTATTGTTCACTCCCTGACCTAGACAGAGAACATCCACACTCCTCAGGGCCCTACGGCGCCTTCACAACATGCCTGCTGTCTCCCATCTCAGCTGAGGCCTCTCCCTGCACAGGCATCCTGGGGGCAGCCTTAAAGGTGCAATAGGCTCTTCCTCAGCCCCACATGCCCTGCATCCTGCCTTGGAGACCATGCTCACTGGGGTTTAGTCCTCCTGGCGTCCGCACTGTACACACACCTGTCCTCACATGTGGCAATGCTTTCCCTTTATTTACATGACTCAGCTGCCTGCAAGCTCTACCTTGTGTGCTGTGCACTGTGCTATGGGCTGGAATGACCACGATAAAGACATGACCTCGGTTTTCAGAGGAGCATCCACACAGATCATCTCAGCTGTAATAAAAATGAGACGAGCTCTGACCTGTGTGGCTCAGTTGGCTGAGTGTCATCCTGTGCGCCAAAAAGTTGCTGGTTCGATGCCTGGTCAGGGCACATGCTCAGGTGTGGGTCCCACCCCACGTCGGGGTTCATGTGGGAGGCACCGAGTGTTTCTCTCTCACATCAGTGATTCTCTCTCCCTCTCTAAAAATCAATAAAAACATTAAAAACGAAGAGACAAGAGCCATAGCATAGGCTGCTTCAGTAACAAAAGTTGTCATTCACTGAGAGGAAGGGAAGGGACTTGGAGTTAAAAGGACAGGAGATTATTCAAGGAGGGAAGGGCAGGCCAAGAAAAGGAAAGGCATGAAAGTGTAGTGTGCCTGTGAGAGGAACTGGTTCAAATTGCTGGAGACCTAGGGGAAGGTGGCAGACCAGCGCAGGCTCTGGTGTGAGGCAAGGCCAGGGCCACAGAGCCTCGAGTGAGACAGAACAGCAATGAAAATGTGGCCAGACCACAGTCCTGAGCCCATCACTGTCACCCATGTCATGTGGCTCTGGTACTAAGAACAGTCAGGTTGTCCCTGCACCAGGCTTTGTCTTCATGTGGGCACCGCATCCCACAGAAGTCCCTGGAAATGCTTTGTGCTCTGGCTGCGAGTGTAGATCCAGAGCCTGCCGGGGTCAAATGTCGGACTTGTGGGCTCCACTTTAGACTACCACCCTTGTTCTCTGACCTTCTACTTCTAAGTCCTATCTTTTTACACCCAGGAAAGCGGCTTTAGCACTTTTTTTTTTTTTTTTTTTTGAAAAAGGATATTGTGAGTAACTGGTTGCTCTGAGATCAGCAGTGGATGAATTTTGAGGAGGGAAAACCAACAGCAGGGGATGGGTGGAAGGAGCAACCACCCAGATTGGATGAACACAGAATGGAGGTGGGACTTGGGGTGACTGGTCATAACAGAAACCAAGAGACAGTCCAGGGAGAGCGTGCGGTAAGAGAGCGTGGAGTTCACCAACTTGTAAGGTTTAGGCAAGGCAGACAAAGTGTCCACTGGGAGAAGAGCGAAGGGCCCGGCCAGGGGAAGTGTGAGAACAGCCTGGGGCGATGGGGAGCAGGGATGAGCTGGCAGGTTTAACATAAGGGCTGCCAAGTATCCAATGAGGACCTGAACTAATGTCTTCCTTAGGAGCCATCTCATATCCCTGACCAGCTGGCATAAGGCCTGGCAGGCACCTTTGCATGAACATGAACCCTTACTTACTCTCCACTTCAATCCACAAAGAATATAAGGTACTTGAATGGGAGCACTTAGTCAAAACCACTTGTACATATAAACAAAACAGTTCCTCTGCCTACATGTAAACCAAGCACAGGTAACGGAACATCTTAAAGGCCCGGCCCAGCCTGGCTGGTGTGCTCAGTGGTTAGAGCGCCAGCCTGCACGTCGGAGGGTCAAGGGTTTGATCCCTGGCCCTGGTTGGGGTGCACGTGGGAGGCAACCAATCAATGCGTCCCTCTCACACTGATGTTTCTGTCTCTCCCTCCTTTCTGCTTCTCAGCCCTTTCCCCAGAATCCATATGTAGGCGACCTACACGCACCATCACGCGAGTGTCAGCGCTCTAAGGACAGGGGCAATCGCTTTGCTCTGGGCAGACTGAAGTCAGCTCAGGAACACACTCAGCCCCTCCACATTCCGCTCTCACCCTTAATTTACCTCCCAGTTCAGGCAACGGGACAATGTCCTGTGAATAATCTGCTAGTGTCAATAAATCTCAACCCCGGCTGCACAGAATCATCCCTTGCCGCCGGCGCCCAAGCCTATGAATTCCCACTGATTTGGCCCCGGGCAGCCTTAGGTGTTATCCTGACATCTTGGTCAAGGTTGGAAGCACCGTTACAGCGAGGTCCTTACAGTGAGGTCCGGGAGCCCGGCGCGGGGCTTCCAGCTTGACCTTGGGAGTCTACCCACCGTCAGACAATGGTTTTAACCTTGTGCGCTTCAGGCACCGGGGAGCTCGAGCAAAAACCCGTGCAGGGCCTCCTCCCAAAGGGAAGTCAGACCTGGGGGTGGAGGGCGCGAGGGACCTCACCCTAGAGGTTCCATCACATAAACGCTAGATGCTCCCTGCTCCCCACCCTTGTTTCCAGGAGGCCCAGGACCTGGCCGGGACCAGAGGGAAATCGGGGAGAGCGGCCCTGGGCGGCTGTCGGCCACCGTGGCTCCCCTCCCCAGGTCTTTCGTAAAATGGGAATTTACTGAGAGCTTTTCTGGGTCAATCTTGTCATAGAGTTTCTAGACTTAAAGAACACGGTCCCTCATCCCCTCTAACGTCAGCGGGGGCGCGTCACTATACTGGCGGCACAGCTGTGTGACTCTGCCTGGCACCTGCGCGAGCGCCGAGCCCGGGGCCCTGGGCCTCGACTGGGTCTCCGCGGGGCGCAGCGTGGTGCTGAGCGGCCGGGCGGCGGCCAGCGTGGGAAGCCGGGGCAGCGACGCCAAGGCCGCGGGCAGGCGGCGGACACAGGAGGAAAGGACACGAGCCGCCATGGCTACGCCGACCCAGCTTGCACTGCGCTGCGCCCGCGAGTCTAGTTCCCCCTCCGGTTGGGCGCGGGCGACGCACAGAGCGGCGCTGCAGAGCCCCACCCGGCGGTGGCGGCCCCTGGCGGCTCCTGGCGGCACTGTACCCTGAGGCGCCGGCCCAGACGTTCCAGCCCGAGGCAGGGCTGGGACTACAGCCAGCGTCCCTGAGCACAATCCTTGACACAGCAAGGAACTTACTTCCACCTGCTCTCTGGAAGTCCCGAAGCACATTTATTTAAAAGTTTTGATGCCGCGATTCTTCCATAGAAATTATAACTATTTAATATCTCAAAACAGTATAAAATAAGAATGTGAAAATGAGTCGATTTAAATATGTAAGACTAATAAGTGTGGAAATTACAATAAAAATCACAGACATGTTAAACAATGTAGAAATAATATAGTTCACAAAAGTGGGTTCATGGAGGAAGTTTATGCTAATTTGCTCACATTTCTTAGCAGGGATTTCAAAGATACTGAAATCCAAACGTAAAACACTAACTGTGGATCCTGCCTGGACGAACAATCTAACAATGCTTTCAATTTTACATGTTTCTTTTATTTTGATTAAATTTAAGTAAAATAGCCTTGGCCAGGGTGGCTCAGTTGGTTGCAGTGTGGTCCCATACACCAGAAAGTGGCGGGTTGATTTCCATCAGGGCACATACCGGGGTTTTGGATTGGATCCCTGGTCAGGGCACCTGTGGGAGGCAATTGATTGATGTTTCTCTCTCTCTCTCTCTCTCTCTCTCTCTCTCTCTCTCTCTTCTCTCTCTCTCTCTCTCTCTCTCTTCCTCTCTCTAAGCATGTCCTTGGCCAAGGATTAAAAAAAAACGGGGAATTCTGGCCAGGTGGCTCAGTTGGTTGGGAACTGTCCCATGGACCAAATTCCTGTCAGGGCACATGCCCAGGTTGAAGACTCAATCCCTGATAGAGGTGTACAGGAGGCAGCTGATCAATTCTTAAAAATATATGTTTATTGATTATATATAGAGAGAGGAAGCAAGAAGGATAGAGAGAGAAACATCAATGACAGAGATACATTGGTCGGCTGCCTCCTGCACATCCCCTACTGGGGGTTAAACCTGAAACCTGGGCATGTGTCCTAACCGGCAATTGAACCAGTGAACTTTTGGTTCATAGGTGACACTCAATTGCTGAGGTACACTGGCCAGGCTGATCAATGATACACTCCCACATCGATGTTTCTCTCTCTCCCTTCCTCTCTTCCTAAAAATCAGTAAAAATATATAAAAAAAGGATGCATAATATGATCCCACTGTTGTAAAATATCTCTATTTATGTGCTCACTGAAAACTGAGTATCTGCGATGTGCTAGTTGTGGAGGGTACAGCACTGAGCAAGCCAAACGGGCAGTCTATTCCCATGGAGTTTACATTCCAGCGGGAAGATGGACAATAAACAATAACAATCCGCCCCCCCCACCCCCGCAAACAAACAACTCCAGGAAGCTGTGATGAACACAAGGAAGGACAGTAAATGGGGAGGGGGAATAGTGAGGGAGTACAGGAGGTGTGTGACTTTAGGTAGGTGGTCCCTGAAGGCCTTTCTTAGGAGGTATATTTGATTTAACCAACCAGGAGGAAAACCAGCTCAGGAACCATCATGCTGTTGGTGATGCCAATCAGAGTTCTATGGCAGTGCTAGCAATCGATGCCAGGCTTCTCCTACGCCCTGACTCAATCACTTCCGTCCCACTGCTTATTATGCAATTGGAAGAGCAATTGTAACCCCCCTTTGGAATGGTCAGTGACGAAATGGCAAGCTCCATTTTGAGTGGCAGCCTCCCATTTCTGCAGAAAACTGATTGGCACCAAAAACCAGAATGGAGACCAAGGACCAGGGCCCATAAGGTCTGTGCAAATCACCAGCGACGCACCAGCCTCGGATCATGCCTTCCAGGCCACACTTTGGGCCAGACCCATGGGCCAGACCTGTGATGGTGACGTGTAGCATTAACACGAGGAAAACTCAGGGAGAGCCTGATGGCTTACTCAGTTGAGACCGTCTCTTCCCATGACCCATTTATATTAGTGTTCCATCGAATCCTTCGGTTAAACAATAAATCACCTCTTATTTAAATGATGTATTTTGGGCTGTAACCGGTTTGGCTCAGTGGATAGAGCATTGGCCTGTGGACTGAAAGGTCCCAGGTTCGATTCCGGTCAAGGGCATATACCTCGGTTGTGGGCACATCCCCAGTGGGAGGTGTCCAGGAGGCGGCTGATCGGTGTTTCTAACTATCTCTCTCCCTTCCTCTCTGTAAAAAATCAATAAAATATATATTAAAAAAAAAAAGATGTATTTTGGGAGAGCTACTCCCCCTTCAGCAAAGAGAAAATGTCAGCCTACATGATCTGTGGGTAAAAGGTTCAATATTAAGATGGAGATCAAGTCCTTACAGCTGGGAAGATTTAAGAGAGGACACTGGTGCTTCTCGCTGGCGCTCCCATCAACGGATATATAAGCATAAACCATCAACTTCCTGCACACGTCACCCACCACCCAGCAGTTATCCCTCCCTCCTTCCAGCCCATTTGCATATTGTCTCAGCCCCTTCTGTTCCCTTGGGACCATGTACCTCAGTTATCTCTTCTCCCCGACATCTTCTTTCTCACTTTCGTTCTTCTCTCCTCTGAGCCCATAAACATGCCAGTTTCTCCTGGCCTAACAACAAGGCCACAGGTACCACGCCAAAGGAGAGTACATTTTAAGCCAATAAACTGCAGGATGCCCACCGAACAGACCTCACTAAAAACGGGGCATTAGGTAG